ACCCCCATAGAGACCCCATAGCCCCCCATATCCCCCCATAGAGACCCCATAGACCCCCATAGCCCCCCATAGACACCCCATAGACCCCCAGAGACCCCATAGCCACCCCATATCCCCCCATAGACCCCCATAGACTCCCATAGACCCCATAGACACCCCATAAACCCACGTAGACCCCCCAGACCCCCATATCCCCCCCATAGACCCCCATAGACCCCCATAGAGACCCCTTAGACCCCCATAGACCCCCATAGAGACCCCATAGACCCCCATAGACCCCCATAGACACCCCATAGACCCCCATAGACCCCCCCATAGACCCCCATAGAGACCCCCATAGAGACCCCATAGACCCCCATATCCCCCCCATAGCCCCCCATAGACACCCCATAGAGACCCCATAGACCCCCATATCCCCCCACAGAGACCCCATTTCCCCCCCCTTTTTACCTCTCTCTGTTCCCTTCCCTCCCTCAGCTCAATGGCGGCCTCCGACCCCCGGCGGGACCCAGGCCGCTGGGCCGCCGCCAGCCTCCGAGCTCGGGAGGCCCCGGAGGCGGGGCCCAGGCCCCGGGGCAGCCTCTGGCGCCGCCTGTGCCGCTGCTGCGGGCCCTGCTGCGGCCGCTCCTCCGCGGGGCCCTGGGAGCCCGACTCACGCGAGGCCCCGGCTCGGCGAGGCCTGCAGGCCCCGCGGCCTGGTCAGTGCGCGTTGGGAGTAGTCAAGCCTCAGGGCCATAGGGAGCTGTTGGGGCCTAGGAGGGGGGCGTTGGGAGTAGTGAAGCCTGCGGGGGGGGGGGGGCATCCCATAATACCCATCCCAATTCCCACTTTTAGACACGAATTCCCACTTTTTAGCCCCAAATTCCCACTTTTTAGCCCCAAATTCCCACTTTTTAGCACCAAATTCCCACTTTTTGGCCCCAAATTCTCATTTTTTAGCCCCAAATTCCCACTTTTTAGCCCCAAATTCCCGCTTTCTTCACACAAAATTCACATTTTTGGACCCAAATTTCCCCTTTTTGGACCAAATTCCCACTTTTTTTGCTCAAAATTCCCATTTTTGGCCCCAAATTCCTCATTTTCCCCGAAATTTCCACCATTTTTTGCCCCAAATTCACCCTTTTTGCCCCAAATTCCCACTTTTTTTCTCAAAATTCCCATTTTTTGACCCAAATTTCTCCTTTTTGGCCCCAAATTCCTCCTTTTTCCCCAAATTCCCACTTTTTTTTCCCCAAATTCCCCCTTTTTAGCCCCAAATTCCCATTTTTTGTCCCAAATTCTCCATTTTTTGACCCAAAATCCCTCTTTCTGAACCAAATTCCCACTTTTTTGGCCCAAATTTCCCATGTTTTGGTTCCAAATTTCTTTTTTTTGGCCCCAAGTTCCTGCTTTCTTCACACAAAATTCACATTTTTGGACCCAAATTTCCCCTTTTTGCACCAAATTCCCACTTTTTTTGCTCAAAATTCCCTTTTTTGGCCCCAAATTCTTCCTTTCCCCTGAAATTTCCACCTTTTTTTTTGCCCCAAATTCACCCTTTTTGCCCCAAATTCCCACTTTTTTTCTCAAAATTCCCATTTTTGGACCCAAATTTCTCCTTTTTGGCCCCAAATTCCTCCTTTTTCCCAAAATTCCCACTTTTTTTGCCCCAAATTCCCCCTTTTTAGCCCAAAATTCCCACTTTTTGTCCCAAATTCTCCATTTTTGACCCAAATTCCCTCTTTCTGAACCAAATTCCCATTTTTTTTTGCCCAAATTTCCCATGTTTTGGAGCCAAATTTCTCCTTTTTGGCCCCAAATTCCCGCTTTCTTGACACAAAATTTTCATTTTTGGAACCAAATTTCCCTTTTTTGCACCAAATTCCCACTTTTTTTTTCTCAAAATTCCCATTTTTGGCCTCAAATTCCTCCTTTCCCCCGAAATTTCCACCTTTTTTTGGCCCCAAATTCACCCTTTTTCCCAAAATTCCCACATTTTTGACCCCAATTTCCCCCTTTTTTTGCTCAAATTTCCCCTTTTTGCCCCAAATTCCCACTTTTTTTGCTCAAAGTTCCCATTTTTGGAGCCAAATTCCTCCTTTTTGGCCCCAAATTCCTCCTTTTTCCTGAAATTCCCAATATTTTTTGCCCCAAATTCCCCCTTTTTAGCCCAAAATGCCCGTTTTTTGTCACAAATTCTCCATTTTTGACCCAAATTCCCTCTTTCTAAACCAAATTCCCACTTTTTTGGCCCAAATTTCCCATGTTTTGGATCCAAATTTCTCCTTTTTGGCCCCAAATTCCCGCTTTCTTGACACAAAATTTGCATTTTTGGACCCAAATTTCCCCTTTATGGACCAAATTCCCACTTTTTTTTTCCTCAAAATTCCCATTTTTTGACCCAAATTTCTCCTTTTTGGCCCCAAATTTCCCCCTTTTCACTGAATTCCCACATTTTTTGCCCCAAATTCACCTTTTTGGTCCCAAATTCCCCCTTTTTGAGCCCAGATTCCCTTTTTCTGACCCAAATTCCTACTTTCTTGACCCAAAATTCCCCTTTTTGGCCCCAAATTCCCCCTTTTTGGCCCCAAATTCCCCCTTTTTGGCCCCAAATTCCTACTTTTAGCACCAAATTACCTCTTTTTGACCCAAAATTCCCCCTTTTTGACCCCAATGTCTCCCTTTTTCCCCGAATTCCCACTTTTTGACCCCAAATTCCCCCTGTTTGGCCCCAAATTCACCTTTTTTTGTCACCAAATTCCCTCTTTTTGTCACCAAATTCCCTATTTTTACCCCAAATTCCCCCTTTTTGCACCAAATCCCCACTTTTTGCCCCAAATTCCTCTTTTTTGCCCCTAATTCCTACTTTTTAACCTGAATTCCCTCTTTTTTGCCCCAAATTCCTCCTAATTGGACCCAAATTCCCCCTTTTTGGCTCCAAATTTCCCCTTTTGGGCCCCAAATTCCCACTTTTTGGACCCAAATTCCCCTTTTTGACCCCAAATTCCTCCGTTTTGGCGCCAAATTCCCACTTTTTGCCCCAAATTCCTTTTTTTTTGGCCCCAAATTCCCCTTTTTGATCTCCAAATTCCCCTTTTTGGACCCAAAATTCCCACTTTTTTGCCCCAAATTCCTCCTTTTTCACAACAAATTCCCATTTTTTTCCCCAAATTCCCACTTTATGGCCCTAAATTCCCTCTTTATGGCCCTAAATTCCCACTTTATGGCCCCAAATTCCTTTTTTTTGGCACCAAGATTCCATTTTTTTCCCCCAAATTCCCATTTTTGGCCCCATATTTCACCTTTTTGGCTCCAAATTCCCACTTTTTGTCCCAGATTCCCACTTTTTGTCCCAAATTCCCACTTTTTGTCCCAAATTCCCCCTTTTTGGCCCCAAATTCCCTCTTTTTGTCCCAATTTCCCCCTTTTTTTGCCCCAAATTCCCTCTTTTTGTCCTAAATTCCCTCTTTTTGTCCCAATTTCCCCCATTTTTGCCCCAAATTCCCCCTTTTTGGCCCCAAATTCCAACTTTTGGACCCAAATTCCCCCTTTTTAGCCCCATTCACATCCTTCTTGGACCATTTTTGCCCATTTTGGGCCCATTTATGTGATTTTAGGTCCATTTTGATCCATTTTGAGTCCATTTATGCCCATTTTGGGTCCATTCCCATCCATTTTTTGTCCATTTATGTCCATTTTGGGTCCATTTATGTCCATTTTTCGTCCATATATGTCCATTTTGGGTCCATTTGGGTCCATTTATGTCCATTTTGGGTCCATTTATGTCCATTTTTCGTCCATATATGTCCATTTTGGGTCCATTTGGGTCCATTTATGTCCATTTTGGGCCCATTTATGTCCATTTATGTCCACTTTGGGTCCATTTTCCTCCATTTTGGGTCCATTTCTATCCATTTTGTGTCAATTTTCATTCATTTTGGGTCCCTTTTCATCCACTTTGGGTCCATTTCCATTCATTTTTTGTCCATTTATGCCCATTTTGGGTCCATTTTCATCCATTTTGGTCCATTTATGTCTATTTTTCGTCCATTTCTGTCTATTTTGGGTCCATTTATGTCCATTTTGGGTCCATTTTTGTCCATTTTGGGTCCATTTCCATCCATTTTGGGTCCATTTATGTCCATTTTGGGTCCATTTCTGTCCATTTTTCGTCCATTTATGTCCATTTTGGGTCCATTTATGTCCATTTTGGGTCCATTTATGTCCATTTTGGGTCCATTTATGTCCATTTTGGGTCCATTTATGTCCATTTTGGGTCCATTTATGTCCTTTTTGGGTCCATTCTCATCCATTTTGGGTCCATTCCCATCCACTTTTCGTCCGTTTATGTCCATTTTGAGTCCATTTATGTCCATTTTGGGTCCATTTATGTCCATTTTTCGTCCATTTATGTCCATTTTGGGTCCATTTTTTTGTTCATTTTGGGTCCATTTATGTCCATTTTGGGTCCATTCCCATCCATTTTTCATCCATTTATGTCCATTTTGGGTCCATTTATTTCCATTTTGGGTCCATTTCCATCCATTTTGGGTCCATTCTCATCCATTTTGGGTCCATTTATGTCCATTTTGGGTCGATTTATGTCCATTTTGGGTCCATTTTCATCCATTTTGGGTCCATTCCCATCCATTTTTCATCCATTTATGTCCATTTTGGGTCCATTTATGGCCATTTTGGGTCAATTTTCATCCATTTTGGGTCCATTTATGTCCATTTGGTATCCATTTATGTCCATTTTTCATCCATTTTGGGTCCATTCCCATCCATTTTGGGTCCATTTATGTCCATTTTGGGTCCATTTCCATCCATTTTGGGTCCATTTATGTCCATTTTTCATCCATTTATATCCATTTTGGGTCCATTCCCATCCATTCTGGGTCCATTACAATCCATTTTGGGTCCATTTATGTCCATTTTTCGTCCATTTATGTCCATTTTGGGTCCATTTATGTCCATTTTGGGTCCATTTTCATCCATTTTGGGTCCATTTATGTCCATTTTGGGTCCATTTATGTCCATTTTGGGTCCATTCCCATCCATTTTTCATCCATTTATGTCCATTTTGGGTCCATTTATGTCCATTTTGGGTCCATTTATGTCCATTTTGGGTCCATTCTCATCCATTTTGGGTCCATTTATGTCCATTTTTCGTCCATTTATGTCCATTTTGGGTCCATTTATGTCCATTTTGGGTCCATTTTCATCCATTTTGGGTCCATTTATGGCCATTTTGGGTCCATTCTCATCCATTTTGGGTCCATTTGGGTCCATTTATGTCCATTTTGGGTCCATTTATGTCCATTTTTTGTCCATTTATGTCCATTTTTTGTCCATTTATGTCCATTTTGGGTCCATTTATGTCCATTTTTTGTCCATTTATGTCCATTTTGGGTCCATTTATGTCCATTTTGGGTCCATTTATGTCCATTTTGGGTCCATTTCCATCCATTTTTCATCCATTTATGTCCATTTTGGGTCCATTTATGTCCATTTTGGGTCCATTTATGTCCATTTTGGGTCCATTCTCATCCATTTTGGTGCATTTATGCCTATTTTTCGTCCATTTATGTCCATTTTGGGTCCATTTCCATCCATTTTGTGTCCATTTATGTCCATTTTTCGTCCATTTTCATCCATTTTGGGTCCATTTATGTCCATTTTTCATCCATTTATGTCCATTTTGGGTCCATTTCCATCCATTTTGTGTCCATTTATGTCCATTTTGGGTCCATTTATGTCCATTTTGGGTCCATTTATGTCCATTTTGGGTCCATTTATGTCCATTTTGGGTCCATTTCCATCCATTTTGGGTCCATTTATGTCCATTTTCATCCATTTTGGGTCCATTTATGTCCATTTTGGGTCCATTTATGTCCATTTTGGGTCCATTTATGTCCATTTTTCGTCCATTTTCATCCATTTTGGGTCCATTTATGTCCATTTTGGGTCCATTTATGTCCATTTTGGGTCCATTTATGTCCATTTTGGGTCCATTTATGTCCATTTTGGGTCCATTTATGTCCATTTTGCGCCCATTTTTCGTCCATTTTGGGTCCATTTATGTCCATTTTGGGTCCATTGTCATCCATTTTGGGTCCATTTGGGTCCATTTATGTCCATTTTGGGTCCATTTATGTCCATTTTTCGTCCATTTATGTCCATTTTGGGTCCATTTATGTCCATTTTGGGTCCATTTATGTCCATTTTGGGTCCATTTATGTCCATTTTGGGTCCATTCCCATCCATTTTGGGTCCATTCCCATCCATTTTTGGTCCATTTATGCCTATTTTTCGTCCATTTATGTCCATTTTGGGTCCATTTATGTCCATTTTTCGTCCATTTATGTCCATTTTGGTTCCATTTATGTCCATTTTGGGTCCATTTATGTCCATTTTGGGTCCATTCTCATCCATTTTGGTCCATTTATGCCTATTTTTCGTCCATTTATGTCCATTTTGGGTCCATTTCCATCCATTTTGGGTCCATTTATGTCCATTTTTCGTCCATTTTCATCCATTTTGGGTCCATTTATGTCCATTTTTCGTCCATTTATATCCATTTTGAGTCCATTCCCATCCATTTTGGGTCCATTTATATCCATTTTGGGTCCATTTATGTCCATTTTTCATCCATTTCCGTCCATTTTGGGCCCATTTATGTCCATTTTTTGTCTATTTATGTCCATTTTGGGCCCATTTATGTCCATTTTGGGTCCATTCCCATCCATTTTTCGTCCATTTCTGTCCATTTTTTTGTCCATTTATGTCAATTTTGGGTCCATTTATGGCCATTTTGGGTCCATTTTTGTCCATTTTGGGTCCATTTCCATCCATTTTTCATCCATTTATGTCCATTTTGGGTCCATTTATGTCCATTTTGGGTCCATTTATGTCCATTTTGGGTCCATTCTCATCCATTTTGGTGCATTTATGCCTATTTTTGGGTCCATTTATGTCCATTTTGGGTCCATTTCCATCCATTTTGGGTCCATTTATTTCCATTTTGGGTCCATTTTCATCCATTTTGGTCCATTTATGTCTATTTTTCGTCCATTTATGTCCATTTTGGGTCCATTTATGCCCATTTTGGGTCCATTTTCATCCATTTTGGTCCATTTATGCCTATTTTTCGTCCATTTATGTCCATTTTGGGTCCATTCCCATCCATTTTTTGTCCATTTATGTCCATTTTGGGTCCATTTTTGTCCATTTTGGGTCCATTTATGTCCATTTTGGGTCCATTTCCATCAATTTTGGGTCCATTTATGTCCATTTTGGGTCCATTTCCATCCATTTTGGGTCCATTCCCATCCATTTTGGGTCCATTTTCATCCATTTTGGGTCCATTTATGTCCATTTTGGGTCCATTTTCATCCATTTTGGGTCCATTTATGTCCATTTTTCATCCAATTATGTCCATTTTTCGTCCATTTTCATCCATTTTGGGTCCATTTATGTCCATTTTTCATCCATTTATGTCCATTTTGGGTCCATTTCCATCCATTTTTTGTCCATTTATGTCCATTTTGGGTCCATTTTTGTCCGTTTTGGGTCCATTTTCATCCATTTTGGTCCATTTATGCCTATTTTTCGTCCATTTATGTCCATTTTTTTGTCCATTTATGTCCATTTTGTGTCCATTTATGTCCATTTTTCATCCATTTATGTCCATTTTGGGTCCATTTATGTCCATTTTGGGTCCATTCCCATCCATTCTGGGTCCATTCCCCCTCCCATCACCCCCCCGCTGACCCCGCTGACCCCTCCTCCCATCCAATCCCCTCAGGGCAGCTGGTGCCGCGGGGCCTCGCCATTGGCTGCCCGCAGGACCCCCTTTTAGGTCCATTTCTGTCCATTTTGGGCACATTTTTGTCCATTTTCATCCATTTTGGGTCCATTTATGTCCATTTTGGGTCCATTTATGTCCATTTTGGGTCCATTTATGTCCATTTTTTGTCTATTTATGTCCATTTTTTGTCCATTTCCATCAATTTTTCGTCCTTTATGTCCATTTTGGCTCCATTTATGTCCATTTCGGGTTCATTTATGTCCATTTTGGGTCTGTTTTCATCCATTTTGGGTCCATTTATGTCCATTTTTCATCCATTTTGGGTCCATTCCCATCCATTTTTCATCCATTTATGTCCATTTTGGGTCCATTTATGTCCATTTGGGGTCCATTTATGTCCATTTTGTGTCCATTTCCGTCCATTTTTCATCCATTTATGTCCATTTTGGGTCCATTTCCATCGATTTTGGGTCCATTTATGTCCATTTTGGGTCCATTTATGTCCATTTTGGGTCCATTTATGTCCATTTTGGGTCCATTTGGGTCCATTTATGTCCATTTTTCATCCATTTATGTCCATTTTGGGCCCATTTATGTCCATTTATATCCACTTTGGGTCCATTTTCCTCCATTTTGGGTCCATTTCCATCCATTTTATGTCAATTTTCATTCATTTTGGGTCCCTTTTCATCCATTCTGGGTCCATTTCCATTCATTTTTTGTCCATTTATGTCCATTTTGGGTTCATTTATGTCCATTTTGGGTCCATTTATGTCCATTTTGGGTCCATTTCCATCCATTTTTCATCCATTTCCATCCATGTTGGGTCCATTTATGTCCGTTTTGGGTCCATTTATGTCCGTTTTGGGTCCATTTATTTCCATTTTGGGTCCATTCTCATCCATTTTGGGTCCATTCCCATCCATTTTTTGTCCATTTCTGTCCATTTTTCATCCATTTCTGTCCATTTTGGTTCCATTTATGTCCATTTTGGGTCCATTCTCATCCATTTTGGTCCATTTATGCCTATTTTTCGTCCATTTATGTCCATTTTGGGTCCATTTATGTCCATTTTGGGTCCATTCCCATCCATTTTTCATCCATTTATGTCCATTTCGGGTCCATTCCCATCCATTCTGGGTCCCTCCCCCCCATCCATTCATCCCCATTCCCCCCCCCGCTGACCCCGCTGACCCCCGCCTCCCATCCAATCCCCTCAGGGCAGCTGGTGCCGCGGGGCCTCGCCATTGGCTGCCCGCAGGACGCCTCCGCCCACCACACGGCCGACTTCCGGGCTCCGGTGCCGGTGCTCAGGCGGGGGCAGGGCTTCGCCGTGCGCCTCCTCTTGCCCCGCCCCCTCGACCGCGACCGCGACGGCCTCTGCCTCGAGCTCACCCTGGGTATGGGGGAGGGGAAGGGGGGGGGAGAGGTGGGGGAGGGGGGGAAATGCCTTTTTCCCATCATTTCCCATCATTTCCCATCATTTCCCCACCATTTCCCATCATTTCCCCACCATTTCCCACCATTTCCCACCATTTCCATGCTCTTTTCCAGTTTTCCCGCCTTTTTGGCGTCATTTTCCCACCTTTTTAATGGTTTCCCGCTTTTTTCCCATTGTTTTCCCGCCCTTTTAACCTTTTCCCGCCTTTTTCCCGTAAGTTTCCTGCGCTTTTTGCTTTTTCCCGCCTGTTTCCCATCGTTTTCCCGCCCTTTTCCCATCACATTCCCACCTTTTCTTAGCTTTTTCCCGCCTGTTTCCCATCATTTTCCCACCCTTTTAACCTTTTCCCGCCTTTTTCCCATAAGTTTTCCCGCCCTTTTAACCTTTTCCTGCCTTTTTCCCGTAAGTTTCCTGCGCTTTTTGCTTTTTCCCGCCTGTTTCCCATCGTTTTCCCACCCTTTTCACCTTTTCCCACCCTTTTCCCATCACATTCCCGCCTTTTCTTAGCTTTTTCCCACCTGTTTCCCTTATTTTCCCGCCCTTTTAACGTTTTCCAGCCTGTTGCCCATCATTTTCACGCCCTTTTAACCTTTTCCCGCCTGTTTCCCATCTTTTTCCCGCCCTTTCTTAGCCCTTTTCCCACCTATTTCCCGTATTTTTCCCGCCCTTTTAACGTTTTCCCACCTTTTTCCCATCATGTTCCCACCCTTTCTTAGCTTTTTCCCACCCTTTTAACCTTTTCCCGCCTTTTTCCCATAATTTTCCTGCCCTTTTAACGTTTTCCCACCTGTTTCCCATCGTTTTCCCGCCCTTTCTTAGCTTTTTCCCGCCTGTTTCCCTTCATTTTCCCGCCCTTTTAACCTTTTCCCGCCTTTTCCAATCGTTTTCCCGCCCTGTTAACCTTTTCCCGCCTTTTCCCCATCACCTTCCCGCCCTTTCTTAGCTTTTTCCCTCCTGTTTCCCATCATTTTCCTGCCCTTTTAACCTTTTCCCGCCTTTTCCCCATCACGTTCCCGCCCTTTCTTAGCTTTTCCCCGCCTTTTCCCCATCATTTTCCCGCTCTTTTAATGCTTTCCCGCCTTCTCCCCATCTTTTCCCCTCCCCTTTTGACGTTTCCCCGCCCTTTTTGTCCTTTCCCCGCCCCTTTTTGTCATTTCCCCGCCTTTTTTTGCCCTTTTCCCGCGTTTTTTTCCTGGTTTTTTTTTAACGTTTTTCCCGCCATTTCCTCCCTCCCCCTCCCCCTTTTTTCCCCCGCCTCCATGACGTCACTCCGCAGGCCCCACCCCCCAGGTGGCCAAGGGCACTCACGTCCTCATCCCATTGGGCGAGAGCTCGGCCACCGGTTGGACGGCGGAGGAGGAGGAGGAGGAGGAGGGGGCGGAGCCAGGGGGAGGCCACGCCCTCCGCCTCCGCGTCACGGCCCCGCCCCACGCCCCCATTGGCCGCTACCGGCTGAGCGTGCGCACGCGCACCCCGGAGGGCGGGGAGTACGCGGCGCCCTTCGACGAGCACAATGACGTCATCATCCTCTTCAACCCATGGTGCCCCGGTGAGAGCCCGCTTTGGGGGGAAAAAGGGCAGATTTGGGCAAAAAAAGGGGCATTTTTGGGGAAAAAGGGGGTTTTGGGTGAAAAAAGGGCATTTTGGGCAAAAAAGGTTTTTTTTTGGTGAAAAAAGGGCAAATTTGGGCAAAAAAAGGGGGCATTTTGGGGGGAAAAAGGGGTTTGGGGGTGAAAAAAGGGCATTTTTGGGCAAAAAAAAAGGGGCATTTTGGGGGGAAAAAGGGCAGATTTGGGGGAAAAAAAAGGGGGCATTTTTTGGGGAAAAAGGGGTTTTTGGGTGAAAAAAGGGCAGATTTGGGCAAAAAAAGGGGCATTTGGGAAAAAAAAAGGGAATTTTTTGGGGAAAAAGGGAGGTTTTGGGTGAAAAAAGGGCATTTTTGGGCAAAAAAGGGGCATTTTGGGGGAAAAAGGGGGTTTTGGGTGAAAAAGGGCATTTTTGGGCAAAAAAGGTTTTTTTTGGAAAAAAAGGGGTTTTGGGTGAAAAAAGGACAGATTTGGGCAAAAAAAGGGGCATTTTGGGGGAAAAAGGGCATTTTTTGGGGGGAAAGGGGCTTTTTGGGTGAAAAAAGGGCAGATTTGGGCAAAAAAGGGGCATTTTTGGGGGAAAAAGGGCATTTTGGGGCAAAAAAGGGCTTTTTGGGTGAAAAAAGGGCAGATTTGGGCAAAAAAGGGGCATTTTGGGGGGAAAAAGGACATTTTTGGACAAAAAAAGGGCATTTTTGGGCAAAAAAGGGCCATTTTTTGGGAAAAGGGCTTTTTTGGCGGGGGGGAAAGGGCTGTTTGGGTGAAAAAAGGGCATTTTGGGGCAAAAAAGGGGCATTTTGGGGGGAAAAAGTCTTTTTGGGTGAAAAAAGGGCGGATTTGGGCAAAAAAGGGGCATTTTGGGGGGAAAAGACATTTTTGGGCAAAAAAGGGGTTTTTGGGTGAAAAAAGGGCGGATTTGGGCAAAAAAAGGGGCATTTTTGGGGGAAAAAGGGGTTTTTGGGTGAAAAAAGGGCATTTTTGGGCAAAAAAAGGGTTTTTTTTGGAAAAAAAGGGCTTTTTGGGAGAAAAAAGGGCATTTTGGGCAAAAAAAAGGGCATTTTTGGGGGCGGAAAAGGGAGGTTTTGGGTGAAAAAAGGGCAGATTTGGGTAAAAAGGGGGCATTTTGGGGGGAAAAAGGGCATTTTTGGGCAAAAAAAAAGGGTTTTTGGGTGAAAAAAGGGCAGATTTGGGCAAAAAAGGGGCATTTTGGGGGGAAAAGGGCAGATTTGGGGGGAAAAGGGCTTTTTGGGTAAAAAAGGGCAGATTTGGGCAAAAAAAGGGGCATTTTTGGGGGAAAACCGGCATTTTTGGGGGAAAAAAGCTGTTTGGGTGAAAAAAAGGCAGATTTGGGCAAAAAAAGGGGGCATTTGGGGGGGGAAAGGCTTTTTGGGTGAAAAAAGGGCAGATTTGGGCAAAAAAAGGGGCATTTTGGGGGGAAAAAGGGGGTTTTGGGTGAAAAAGGGCATTTTTGGGCAAAAAAAAGGGGGTTTTGGTTGAAAAAAAGGCAGATTTGGGAAAAAAGGAGCATTTGGGGGGAAAATGGGCATTTTTGGGCAAAAAAAAAGGGGGCATTTTGGGGTGAAAAGGGGTATTTTTGAGGCTGGAAAAGGGCAGATTTGGGCAAAAAAGGGAGGTTTTGGGGTGAAAAGAGGCATTTTTGGGGGTGGAAAAGGGAGGTTTGGGGTGAAAAAAGGGCAGATTGGGGCAAACAAAGGTTTTGGGGTGGAAAAGGGCATTTTTTTTGGGTGGAAAAGGGAGGTTTTGGGTGAAAAAGGAGGCTTTGGGGTCTCTATGGGTCTCTATGGGGTCCCTGTAGGTCTCTATGGGTGTCTATGGGTCCCTATAGAGTCTCTATGGGTCTCTATGAGGTCCCTATGGGGTCTCTATGGGTCTCTTGTGGTCCCTATGGGTCTCTATGGGTCTCTATGGGGTCTCTATGGTTCCCTATGGGTCTCTATAGAGTCTCTATGGGGTCCCTATAGGTCCCTATGGGGTCTCTATGGATCTCTATGGCTCACTATGGGTCTCTATGGGTCCCCATGGGTCTCTATGGGTCTCTATAGAGTCTCCAGTGGGTCTCTATGGGTCCCAGTGGGTCTCTATGGGTCCCTATGGGTCTCTATGGGTCCCTATGGGTCCCTATAGAGTCTCTATGGGTCCCTATGGGTCTCTATGGGTTCCCTATGGGTCTCTATGGGGTCGCTATAGATCCCTATGGGTCTCTACGGGGTTCCTATAGGTCCTTATGGGTCTCTATGGGGTCTCTATGGGTGTCTGTGGGGTCTCAATGGGCTCCCTATGGGTCTCTATGGAGTCTCTATGGTATCTCTATGGCTCCCTATGTGTCCCTATGTGTCCCTATGGGTCCCTATGTGTCCCTATGGCTCCCTATGGGTCTCAACGTGTTCCCTATGGGTCCCTGCCCCCCCCCCCCCGCAGAGGACTCGGTGTTCATGGAGCCCACGTCGGACCTGGCCGAGTACGTCCTCAACGAGAGCGGGCGCATCTTCTACGGCACCGAGGACCAGATCGTCGAGCGCTCCTGGAACTACGGGCAGGTAACAAAACACCCCAAAAACCCAAAAACGCCCTTTTTCCACCCAAAAAACGCCCTCGCAAACGCCGCCGGCAGAGCGAGACGAGTCCAACGCACCCAAAAACGTGGCGTTTCGACCCAATGTTGTGGTGGAAACGGGGGTTGGAAGGGGACCCCCCTGCTATTGATGTGGTGTGGGGTCTGCAAGTGATGGAGACGGCGTAAGTGGTCAAAAAGAGCCAAAATCGTTGGGTTTTGACCCAAAATTGGGGTTGAAAATGTCATAATGGGGTTGGAAACCTCAAAAGTGGTCAAAAAGAGCCAAAATCGTTGGGTTTTGACCCAAAAATGGAGGTGGAAAATGTCATAATCGGGTTGGAGACCTCAAAAGTGCTCAAGAAGAGCCAAAATCGTTGGGTTTTGACCCAAAATTGGGGTTGAAAACGTCATAATGGTGTTGGAGACTCCATAAATGGTCAAAAGGACCCAAAATCGTTGGGGTTTGACTCAAAATCGTTGGGTTTTGACTCAAAATCATTGGGTTTTGACCCAAAATCGTTGGGTTTTGACTCAAAATCGTTGGGTTTTGACCCAAAATCTAGGTGGAAAATGTCACAATGGGGTTGGAAACCTCAAAAGTGGTCAAAAAGAGCCAAAATCGTTGGGTTTTGACCCAAATCGTTGGGTTTTGACCCAAAAATGGAGGTGGAAAACGTCATAATAGGGTTGGAAACCTCAAAATGAGTCAAAAGGACCCAAAATCGTTGCGTTTCGACCCAAAATTGTGGTGGAAACGGGGGTTGGAAGGGGACCCCGCTCTTATTGATGTGGTGTGGGGTCTGCAAGGGATGGAGACGGCGTAAGAGGTCAAAAAGAGCCAAAATCGTTGGGTTTTGACCCAAAATTGGGGTTGAAAATGTCATAATGGGGTTGGAAACCTCAAAAGTGGTCAAAAAGAGCCAAAATCGTTGGGTTTTGACCCAAAAATGGAGGTGGAAAATGTCATAATCGGGTTGGAGACCTCAAAAGTGCTCAAGAAGAGCCAAAATCGTTGGGTTTTGACCCAAAATTGGGGTGGAAAACGTCATAATGGGGTTGGGGACGTCAAAAGTGGTCAAGAAGAGCCAAAATTGTTGGGTTTTGACCCAAATCGTTGGGGTTTGACCCAAAAATGGAGGTGGAAAACGTCATAATAGGGTTGGAAACCTCAAAATGAGTCAAAAGGACCCAAAATCGTTGCGTTTCGACCCAAAATTGTGGTGGAAACGGGGGTTGGAAGGGGACCCCCCTCTTATTGATGTGGTGTGGGGTCTGCAAGTGATGGAGACGACGTAAGAGGTCAAAAAGAGCCAAAATCGTTGGGTTTTGACCCAAAATTGGGGTGGAAAATGCCATAACGGGGTTGGAAACCTCAAAAGTGGTCAAAAAGAGCCAAAATCGTTGGGTTTTGACCCAAAAATGGAGGTGGAAAATGTCATAATCGGGTTGGAGACCTCAAAAGTGCTCAAGAAGAGCCAAAATCGTTGGGTTTTGACCCAAAATTGGGGTTGAAAACGTCATAATGGTGTTGGAGACTCCATAAATGGTCAAAAGGACCCAAAATCGTTGGGGTTTGACTCAAAATCGTTGGGTTTTGACTCAAAATCATTGGGTTTTGACCCAAAATCGTTGGGTTTTGACTCAAAATCGTTGGGTTTTGACCCAAAATCTAGCTGGAAAACGTCATAATGGGGTTGGAAACCTCAAAAGTGGTCAAAAAGACCCAAAATCGTTGGGTTTTGACCCAAAAATCTAGGTGGAAAATGTCATAATGGGGTTGGAAACCTCAAAAGTGGTCAAAAAGAGCCAAAATCGTTGGGTTTTGACCCAAATCGTTGGGTTTTGACTCAAAATCGTTGGGTTTTGACCAAAAATCGTTGGGTTTTGACTCAAAATCGTTGGGTTTTGACCCAAAATCTAGGTGGAAAATGTCATGATGGGGTTGGAAACCTCAAAAGGGGTCAAGAAGAGCCAAAATCGTTGGGTTTTGACCCAAATCGTTGGGGTTTGACCCAAAATCTAGGTGGAAAACATCATAATGGGGTTGGAAACCCCATAAATGGTCAAAAAGACCCAAAATCGTTGGGTTTTGACCCAAAAATGGAGGTGGAAAATGTCATAATGGGGTTGGAGACTCCATAAATGGTCAAAAGGACCCAAAATCGTTGGGTTTTGACTCAAAAATGGAGGTGGAAAACGTCATTATGGGGTTGGAGACTCCATAAATGGTCAAAAAGACCCAAAATCGTTGGGTTTTGACCCAAAATCGTTGGGTTTTGAACCAAAAATGGAGGTGGAAAACGTCATTATGGGGTTGGAGACTCCATAAATGGTCAAAAAGACCCAAAATCGTTGGGTTTTGACCCAAAATCGTTGGGTTTTAACTCAAAATCGTTGGGTTTTGACCCAAAATCTAGGTGGAAAATGTCATAATGGGGTTGGAAACCTCAAAAGTGGTCAAAAAGAGCCAAAATCGTTGGGTTTTGACCCAAAATCGTTGGGTTTTGACCCAGAATGGAGGTGGGTCTCCCCCCATTGATGTGGGTCTGATCCCATTGATGTCTGCCAGCCCCATTGATGTGGGTCTGCCCCATTGATGTGGGTTCAACCACATAGTTATGGGGCTGTCTCATTGCTATGGGTCAGACCCCATTGCTGTGGGTCTGATCCCATTGCTATGGGTCTGCCCCATTGATGTGGGTCTGCCCCATTGATATGTGTCTGACCCCATTGCTGTGGGTCTGCCCCACTGATGTCAGTCAGCCCCATTGATGTGGGTCCGACCCCATTGCTGTGTCTCTGCCCCATTGTCGTGGGTCCGCCCCATTGCTGTCTCTGCCCCATTGCTGTGGGTCCGCCCCATTGCTGTCTCTGCCCCATTGCTATGGGTCTGCCCCATTGCTGTGTCTCTGCCCCATTGCCATGGGTCCGCCCCATTGCTGTCTCCGCCCCATTGCTGTCTCTGCCCCATTGCTGTGGGTCTGCCCCATTGCTGTCTCTGCCCCATTGCCATGGGTCCGCCCCATTTCTATGGGTCTGCCCCATTGCTGTGTCTCTGCCCCATTGCTATGGGTCCGCCCCATTGCTGTCTCTGCCCCATTGCTGTCTCTGCCCCATTGCCATGGGTCCGCCCCATTGCTGTCTCTGCCCCATTGCTGTCTCTGCCCCATTGCCGTGGGTCCGCCCCATTGCTGTCTCTGCCCCATTGCTGTCTCTGCCCCATTGCTATGGGTCTGCCCCATTGCTGTGGGTCCACCCCATTGCTGTCTCTGCCCCATTGCCATGGGTCCGCCCCATTGCTGTCTCTGCCCCATTGCTGTCTCTGCCCCATTGCCGTGGGTCCGCCCCATTGCTGTCTCTGCCCCATTGCTATGGGTCTGCCCCATTGCTGTCTCTGCCCCATTGCTATGGGTCTGCCCCATTGCTGTCTCTGCCCCATTGCTATGGGTCCGCCCCATTGCTATGGGTCCGCCCCATTGCTGTCTCTGCCCCATTGCTATGGGTCCGCCCCATTGATGTGGGTCTGCCCCATTGCTGTGGGTCTGCCCCATTGCTGTGGGTCCGACCCCATTGCTATGGGTCTGCCCCATTGATGTGGGTCTGCCCCATTGCTGTGGGTCCGACCCCATTGCTATGGGTCTGCCCCATTGATGTGGGTCCGCCCCATTGCTATGGGTCCGCCCCATTGCTGTCTCTGCCCCATTGCTATGGGTCCGCCCCATTGCTATGGGTCCGCCCCATTGCTATGGGTCCGCCCCATTGCTGTCTCTGCCCCATTGCTATGGGTCTGCCCCATTGCTATGGGTCCGCCCCATTGCTGTCTCTGCCCCATTGCTATGGGTCCGCCCCATTGCTGTCTCTGCCCCATTGCTATGGGTCCGCCCCATTGCTGTCTCTGCCCCATTGCTGTGGGTCCGCCCCATTGCTGTCTCTGCCCCATTGCTGTCTCTGCCCCATTGCTATCTCTGCCCCATTGCTGTCTCTGCCCCATTGCTATCTCTGCCCCATTGCTGTCTCTGCCCCATTGCTGTCTCTGCCCCATTGCCGTGGGTCCGCCCCATTGCTGTCTCTGCCCCATTGCTGTCTCTGCCCCATTGCTATGGGTCTGCCCCATTGCTGTCTCTGCCCCATTGCTATGGGTCCGCCCCATTGCTGTCTCTGCCCCATTTCTATGGGTCCGCCCCATTGCTGTCTCTGCCCCATTGCCGTGGGTCTGCCCCATTGCTGTCTCTGCCCCAGTTCGAGCAGGGCGTGCTGGAAGCCTGCCTCTTCATCCTGGACCGCCGAGGGATGCCCCATAGCGCCCGGGGGGACCCGGTCATGGTGGCCAGGGTGGTGTCGGCCATGGTGGGTCCCTATGGGGCGGGTCTATGGGGCGGGGTGGGTCCCTATGGGGCTGGATGGGGTCCTATGGGGCAGGGTGGGCCCCTGTGGGGCGGGCCTATGGGGCAGGCAGGGCTCCTATGGGGCGGGACTATGGGGCAGGGTGGGGTCCTATGGGGCAGGGTGGGTCCCTATGGGGCTGGATGGGGTCCTATGGGGCTGGGTGGGTCCCTATGGGGCGGGTCTATGGGGCTGCAATGGGTCCTATGGGGCTGGATGGGTCCCTATGGGGCGGGTCTATGGGGCGGGGTGGGTCCCTATGGGGCGGGTCTATGGGGCAGGGTGGGTCCCTATGGGGCGGGTCTATGGGGCAGGATGGGCTCCTATGGGGCGGGTCTATGGGGCTGGGTGGGCTCCTATGGGGCAGGGTGGGGTCTTAATGATGGGTTCCTATGGGGCTGGGTGGGTTCCTATGGGGCTGGATGGGTTCCTATGGGGCAGGATGGGTCCCTATGGGGCGGGCCTATGGGGCGGGGTGGGGTCCTATGGGGCTGGGTGGGTTCCTATGGGGAGGGCCTATGGCGCTGGGTGGCTACCTAATCGGCTGGATCGGGTCCTATGGGGCGGGATGGGGTCCTATGGGGCGGGTCTATGGGGCAGGATGGGCTCCTATGGGGCGGGATGGGGTCCTATGGGGCGGGCCTATGGGGCTGGGTGGGTCCCTATGGGGCAGGGTGGTCTCCTATGGGGCGGGGTGGGGTCTTAATGATGGGTTCCTATGGGGCTGCAATGGGTCCTATGGGTCAGCATGGGTTCCTATGGGGCTGGATGGGGTCCTATGGGGCGGGATGGGGTCTTAATGATGGGATCCTATGGGGCTGGATGGGTTCCTATGGGGCTGCAATGGGTCCTATGGGGCAGGATGGGGCCTTAATGATGGGATCCTATGGGGCTGGATGGGTTCCTATGGGGCGGGGTGGGGTCCTATGGGGCAGGATGGGTCCCTATGGGGCGGGCCTATGGGGCGGGGTGGGGTCCTATGGGGCGGGATGGGTTCCTATGGGGCGGGGTGGGTTCCTATGGGGCGGGATGGGGTCCTATGGGGCTGGATGGGGTCCTATGGGGCGGGATGGGTCCCTATGGGGCGGGCCTATGGGGCAGGGTGGGCTCCTATGGGGCTGCATGGGTTCCTATGGGGCGGAATGGGGTCCTATGGGGCGGAATGGGGTCTTAATGATGGGATCCTATGGGGCTGGATGGGGTCCTATGGGGCAGGATGGGGTCCTATGGGGCGGGATGGGTCCCTATGGGGCGGGCCTATGGGGCGGGGTGGGGTCCTATGGGGCTGGATGGGGTCCTATGGGGCTGGATGGGATCCTATGGGGCGGGATGGGTTCCTATGGGGCTGGATGGGGTCCTATGGGGCTGGATGGGTTCCTATGGGGCGGGATGGGCTCCTATGGGGCGGGATGGGTTCCTATGGGGCGGGATGGGGTCCTATGGGGCAGGGTGGGGTCTTAATGATGGGGTCCTATGGGGCTGGATGGGGTCCTATGGGGCAGGATGGGTCCCTATGGGGCTGGATGGGTTCCTATGGGGCAGGGTGGGCTCCTATGGGGCGGGATGGGTTCCTATGGGGCAGGGTGGGCTCCTATGGGGCTGCAATGGGTCCTATGGGGCAGAATGGGGTCTTAGTGATGGGTTCCTATGGGGCTGCAATGGGTCCTATGGGGCTGCAATGGGTCCTATGGGGCTGCAATGGGTCCTATGGGGCTGGTTGGGGTCCTATGGGGCTGGATGGGGTCCTATGGGGCGGGCCTATGGGGCGGGGTGGGTTCCTATGGGGCTGCATGGGTTCCTATGGGGATGGGTGGGCTCCTATGGGGCGGGGTGGGGTCTCCATGGGGTCGGGCACCCATTGTTCCCCATTATCCCCCATTGGCCCCATTAGCACCCATTGTCACCCATTAGCACCCTACAGCACCCTATAGCACCCATTGGTCCCTATAGCACCCATAGCCCCATTCCCACCCCATAGCATCCTATAGCACCCATAGCACTCTATAGCACCCATAGCAGTCTATAGCACCCATAGCACTCTATAGCACCCATTCCCACCCCATAGCACCCTATAGCACCCATAGCACCCTATAGCACCCATTCCCACCCCATAGCACCCTATAGCACCCTTAGCATTCTACAGCACTCCTTCCCACCCTATAGCATCCATTACTCCCCATAGCACTCTATAGCACTCATAGCACCCAATAGCACCCATAGCACCCTATAGCACCCATAGCACCCTATAGCACCCACCCTATAGCACCCATTATCACCCCATAGCACCCATAGCACCCTATAGCACTCGTTACCATCCTATAGCATCCATTACTACCCATAGCATCCTATAGCACCCATAGCATTCTATAGCACCCCATAGCACCCTATAGCACCCATAGCACCCATAGCGGCACCCATAGCACCCACTAGCATCCTATAGCACCCTATAGCACCCATTAGCACCCATTCCCATCCTCGAGCACCCATAGCACTCCTTCCCACCCTATAGCATCCATTACTCCCCATAGCCCTCTATGGCACTCTATGGCACTCTATAGCACCCATAGCACCCCATAGCACCCTATAGCACCCATAGCGGCACCCATAGGTGAACTCCCTGGACGACAACGGGGTGCTGGTGGGGAACTGGACGGGGCGCTACGAGCAGGGCACCAACCCGTCGGCCTGGGCGGGCTCGGTGCACATCCTGCGGGGCTTCCTGAGCACCGGGGCGCCCGTGCGCTACGGGCAGTGCTGGGTGTTCGCGGGGGTCGTCACCACCGGTGAGTACTGGTCCATACTGGTTTGTACTGGTTTATACTGGTTTGGACTGGTTTGGACTGGTTTGGACTGGTTTGGACTGGTTTGGGTTGGTTTGGGTTGGTTTGGGTTGGTTTGGGTTGGTTTGGACTGGGAGGAACTGGTTTGGGTTGGTTTCGGGACTGGTTTGGGTTGGTTTCGGGACTGGTTTGGACTGGTTTATACTGGTTTATACTGGTTTATACTGGTTTATACTGGTTTGGACTGGTTTGGGTTGGTTTGGACTGGTTTGGGTTGGTTTGGGTTGGTTTGGGTTGGTTTGGACTGGGAGGAACTGGTTTGGGTTGGTTTCGGGACTGGTTTGGGTTGGTTTCGGGACTGGTTTGGGCTGGTTTGGACTGGTTTATACTGGTTTGAACTGGTTTGGACTGGTTTGGACTGGTTTGGGTTGGTTTGGGTTGGTTTGGGTTGGTTTGGGTTGGTTTGGGTTGGTTTGGACTGGGAGGAACTGGTTTGGGTTGGTTTCGGGACTGGTTTGGGTTGGTTTCGGGACTGGTTTGGGTTGGTTTCGGGACTGGTTTATACTGGTTTATACTGGTTTATACTGGTTTGGGTTGGTTTGGACTGGTTTGGACTGGTTTGGGTTGGTTTGGACTGGTTTGGGTTGGTTTGGGTTGGTTTGGACTGGGAGGAACTGGTTTGGGTTGGTTTCGGGACTGGTTTGGGTTGGTTTCGGGACTGGTTTATACTGGTTTGGACTGGTTTATACTGGTTTGGACTGGTTTGGACTGGTTTGGACTGGTTTGGGTTGGTTTGGGTTGGTTTGGGTTGGTTTCGGGACTGGTTTGGGTTGGTTTCGGGACTGGTTTGGGTTGGTTTCAGGACTGGTTTGTACTGGTTTATACTGGTTTGGACTGGTTTGGACTGGTTTGGGTTGGTTTGGGTTGGTTTGGACTGGGAGGAACTGGTTTGGGTTGGTTTGGGGACTGGTTTGGTTTGGTTTCGGGACTGGTTTGGGTTGGTTTCCGGACTGGTTTGGGCTGGTTTGTACTGGTTTATACTGGTTTATACTGGTTTGAACTGGTTTGGACTGGTTTGGACTGGTTTGGACTGGTTTGGACTGGTTTGAACTGGTTTGGACTGGTTTGGACTGGTTTATACTGGTTCATACTGGGGCAGTTTGCTGGTTTGGTGGTTTGGGTTGGGGTCACCACTGGTTTGTTGGTACTGGTTTGGACTGGTTTATACTGGTTTATACTGGTTTATACTGGTTTATACTGGTTTATACTGGTTTGGACTGGTTTGGACTGGTTTGGGTTGGTTTGGGTTGGTTTGGGTTGGTTTGGGTTGGTTTGGGTTGGTTTGGGTTGGGAGGAACTGGTTTGGGTTGGTTTTGGGACTGGTTTGGGTTGGTTTCGGGACTGGTTTGGACTGGTTTATACTGGTTTGGACTGGTTTGGACTGGTTTGTACTGGTTTATACTGGTTTGAACTGGTTTGGACTGGTTTGGACTGGTTTGGGTTGGTTTGGGTTGGTTTGGGTTGGTTTGGACTGGGAGGAACTGGTTTGGGTTGGTTTGGGTTGGTTTGGGTTGGTTTGGACTGGGAGGAACTGGTTTGGGTTGGTTTCGGGACTGGTTTGGGTTGGTTTCGGGACTGGTTTGGGTTGGTTTCGGGAGTGGGATGGACTGGTTTGTACTGGTTTGTACTGGTTTATACTGGTTTGGACTGGTTTGGGTTGGTTTGGGTTGGTTTGGGTTGGTTTGGGCTGGTTTGGGTTGGTTTGGGTTGGTTTGGGTTGGTTTGGACTGGGAGGAACTGGTTTGGGTTGGTTTCGGGACTGGTTTGGGTTGGTTTCGGGAGTGGGATGGACTGGTTTGTACTGGTTTATACTGGTTTATACTGGTTTATACTGGTTTATACTGGTTTGGACTGGTTTGGGTTGGTTTGGGTTGGTTTGGGTTGGTTTGGGTTGGTTTGGACTGGGAGGAACTGGTTTGGGTTGGTTTCGGGACTGGTTTGGGTTGGTTTCGGGACTGGTTTGTACTGGTTTATACTGGTTTATACTGGTTTGGACTGGTTTGGACTGGTTTGGACTGGTTTGGACTGGTTTGGACTGGTTTGGACTGGTTTGGGTTGGTTTGGGTTGGTTTGGGTTGGTTTGGGTTGGGAGGAACTGGTTTGGGTTGGTTTCGGGACTGGTTTGGGTTGGTTTCGGGACTGGTTTGAACTGGTTTATACTGGTTTGGACTGGTTTATACTGGTTTATACTGGTTTGGACTGGTTTGGACTGGTTTGGGTTGGTTTGGGTTGGTTTGGGTTGGTTTGGACTGGGAGGAACTGGTTTGGGTTGGTTTCGGGACTGGTTTGGGTTGGTTTGGACTGGTTTATACTGGTTTATACTGGTTTGTACTGGTTTGGACTGGTTTGGACTGGTTTGGACTGGTTTGGGTTGGTTTGGACTGGTTTGGGTTGGTTTGGACTGGTTTGGACTGGTTTGGACTGGTTTGGGTTGGTTTCGGGACTGGTTTGGGTTGGTTTCGGGACTGGTTTGTACTGGTTTATACTGGTTTATACTGGTTTGTACTGGGAGGGACTGGTTTGGACTGGTTTGGGTTAGTTTGGGTTGGTTTCGGGACTGGGATGAACTGGGATGGACTGGTGGGGACTGGTTTATACTGGTTTGGACTGGTTTATACTGGAATGGACTGGTTTAGACTGGTTTGGACTAGGATGGACTGGGATGGACTGGTTTGGACTGGTTTGGACTGGGATGGACTGGGATGGACTGGGATGGACTGGTTTGGGTTGGTTTGGGGTCTGGGATGGACTGGGATGGACTGGTAGGGACTGGTTTGGACTGGTTTATACTGGTTTGAACTGGTTTGGACTGGGATGGACTGGTTTGGGTTGGTTTGGGGTCTGGGATGGACTGGTTTGTACTGGTTTATACTGGTTTATAGGGGCTGTATTGGGCTATATTGGGTTGGAATGGGTTATACAGGGTTATAATGGGTTATACTGGTTTATACTGGTTTATACTGGGTTATACTGGTTTATACTGGTTTATACTGGTCTATGGGGGTGTATTGGGCTATATTGGGTTGGAACGGGTTATACGGGGTTGTGATGCGTTACAATGGGTTGTAATGGGTTTTATTGGGTTATACTGGTTTATACTGGTCTATACTGGTCTATACTGGTTTATACTGGTTTATACTGGTTATACTGGTTTATACTGGTCTATACTGGTTTATACTGGTTTATACTGGTTATACTGGTCTATGGGGGTGTATTGGGCTATATTGGGTTGGAACGGGTTATACGGGGTTGTGATGCGTGACAATGGGTTTTAATGGGTTATACTGGTTTATACTGGTTTATACTGGTTTATACTGGTTATACTGGTCTATAGGGGTGTATTGGGCTATATTGGGTTGGAACGGGTTATACGGGGTTGTGACGCGTTACAATGGGTTTTAATGGGTTATACTGGTTTATACTGGTTTATACTGGTTTATACTGGTCTATACTGGTTTATACTGGTTTATACTGGTTTATACTGGTCCCGGCAGTGCTGCGGTGCCTGGGGCTGCCCACGCGGACGGTGACCAACTACAACTCGGCACACGACACCGACGTCTCCCTCACCACCGACATCTACCTGGACGAGAGCATGAAGCCCATGGAGCGCCTCAACACCGACTCCGTTTGGTACTGGTTTATACTGGTTTATACTGGTTTATACTGGTTTGGACTGGTTTGGGGGGTTTGGGGGGGTTTTGGGGGGGGTTTGGGGGGATTTATGGGGTTTATGGGGGTTAGGAAGGCCATGGAGTGAATGGGCAGTGATTTGGGGTGGTACTGGGTTATACTGGTTTATACTGGTTTATACTGGTTTGGGGTTTTGGGGTGTTTTTGGGGGGATTTATGGGGTTTATGGGGGTTAGGAAGGCCATGGAGTGAATGAGCAGTGATTTGGGGTGGTACTGGGTTATACTGGTTTATACTGGTTTATACTGGTTTGAGGTTTTGGGGTGTTTTTGGGGGGATTTATGGGGTTTATGGGGGTTAGGAAGGCCATGGAGTGAATGAGAAGTGATTTGGGGTGGTACTGGGTTATACTGGTTTATACTGGTTTATACTGGTTTATACTGGTTTGGGGTTTTGGGGTGTTTTTGGGGGGATTTATGGGGTTTATGGGGGTTAGGAAGGCCATGGAGTGAATGGGCAGTGATTTGGGGTGGTACTGGTTTATACTGGTTTATACTGGTTTATACTGGTTTATACTGGTTTGGGGTTTTGGGGGTGTTTTGGGGGGGATTTATGGGGTTTATGGGGGTTAGGAAGGCCATGGAGTGAATGGGCAGTGATTTGGGGTGGTACTGGGTTATACTGGTTTATACTGGTTTGGGGTTTTGGGGTGGTTTAGACTGCTTTGGCGTGGTTTACGCTGATCATACCGGTCCGTACCGGTTGATACTGGTCCATACTGGTCCATACTGGTCCATACTGGTTTATACTGGTTTATACTGGTTTATACTGGTCCATACTGGTCCTGCAGGAACTTCCACGTGTGGAACGACTGCTGGATGAAGAGGCCCGACCTCCCTGCGGGCCACGATGGGTGGCAAGTGGTGGATGCAACCCCCCAGGAGACCAGCAGTGGTATATACTGGTTTATACTGGTTTATACTGGTTTATACTGGTTTATACTGGTTTATACTGGTTATACTGGTTATAATGGGTTATAGGGGGGTATAATGGGGTTTAATGGGGTATAATGGGGTATAATGGGGTTTAATGGGTTATACTGGTCCATACTGGTTTATACTGGTCCCTACTGGTCTATACTGGTTTATTCTGGTTAGAATGGGTTCCATTGAGGTATATTGGGTTATACCGGTCCATACTGGTCCATACTGGTTTACTGGTTTATACTGGGTTATACTGGTCCATACTGGTTTATACTGGTTTATACTGGTTATACTGGTTATAATGGGTTATAGGGGGGTATAATGGGGTATAATGGGAGTATAATGGGGTTTAATACTGGTTTATACTGGTCCATACTGGTTATAATGGGTTATAGGGGGGTATAATGGGGTATAATGGGAGTATAATGGGGTTTAATGGGGTATAATGGTCCATACTGGTTTATACTGGTTATACTGGGTTATAGGGGGGTATAATGGGGTATAATGGGAGTATAATGGGGTTTAATGGGTTATACTGGTCCATACTGGTTTATACTGGTTTATACTGGTTATACTGGTTATAATGGGTTATAGGGGGGTATAATGGGGTATAATGGGAGTATAATGGGGTTTAATGGGGTATAATGGTCCATACTGGTTTATACTGGTTTATACTGGTCTATATCTATACTGGTCCATACTGGTCTATACTGGTTTATTCTGGTTAGAATGGGTTCTATTGGGGTATATTGGGTTCTACCAGTCCATACTGGTCCATACTGGTCCATACTGGTTTATACTGGTCTATACTGGTCCATACTGGTTTATTCTGGTTAGCATGGGTTCTATTGGGGTATACTGGGTTCTACTGGTTCATACTGGTCCATACTGGTCCATACTGGTTTATACTGGTCCATACTGGTTTATACTGGTTTATACTGGTTTATACTGGTGCCTTTAGGGCTGTTCTGCTGCGGGCCCTGCTCCGTGGAGGCGGTGAAGAACGGGGAGGTCTTCCTCAAGTACGACACCCCCTTCGTGTTCGCTGAGGTATGGCTAATTTATGCTAATGAGGGGGTTATTAATGCTAATGAGGGGGGTATTAATGCTAATGAGGGGGGAATTAATGCTAATGAGGGGGTATGATGGTTATAATGGGGTTATAATGGGTTATAAAGGGGTTCTAAAGGGTTATAATGGGTTATTAATTGATGCTAATGAGGGGTAATTAATGCTAATGAAGGGTGATTGAGGCTAATGGGGGTAATTAATGCTAATGAGGGGTAATTAATGCTAATGAGGGGCTATAATGGTTATAATGGGTTAAAATAGGGATATAATGGGTTATTAATTGATGATAATGAGGAATAATCAGTGCTAATGAGGGGTAACTGATGCTAATGAGGGGGTAATTAGCGCTAATTAATGCTAATGAGGGGTAATCAATGCTAATGAGGGGGATTAACGCTAATGAGGGGTATAATGGTTATAATGGGTTATTAATTGATGCTAATGAGGAGGTAATTAATGCTAATGAGAGGGTAATTAATGCTAATGAGGGGGAATTAATGCTAATGAGTGGGTATAATGGTTATAATGTTATTGATGCTAATGAGGATGTAATTAGCGCTACTTTATGCAAATGAAGAGGTAATTAATGCTGTTGAGGGGGGAATTAATGCTAATGAGGGGGGATGATGGTTATAATGGGTTATAATAGGGTTGTAATGGGTTATTAATTGATGCTAATGAGGAATAATCAGTGCTAATGAGGGGGGAACTAGCGGTAATTAATGCTAATGAAGGGTAATTAATGCTACTGAGGTGGAATTAATGCTAATGAGGGGGTATAATGGTTCTAATGGGTTATAAAAGGGTTATAATGGGTTATTAATTGATGCTAATGAGGGGTAATTAATGCTAATGAGGGTGATTGAGGCTAATGGGGGTAATTAATGCTAATGAGGGGAAATTAATTCTAATGAGGGGCTATAATGGTTATAATGGGTTAAAATAGGGTTGTAATGGGTTATTAATTGATGATAATGAGGAATAATCAGTGCTAATGAGGGGTAACTGATGCTAATGAGGGGTAATTAGCGCTAATTAATGCAAATGAGGGTAATCAATGCTAATGAGGGGGAATTAATGCTAATGAGGGGTGTAATGGGTTATTAATTGATGCTAATGAGGAGGTAATTAGTGTTACTTTATGCTAATGAGGAGGTAATTAATGCTAATGAGGGGTAATTAATGCTAATGAGGGGGTACGATGGTTATAATGGGTTATAAAGGGGTTATAATGGGTTATTAATTGATGCTAATGAGGGGTAATTAATGCTAATGAAGGGTGATTGAGACTAATGGGGGTAATTAATGCTAATGAGAGCTAATTAACGCTAATTACCCATAATTGATGCTAATAAACGCCCACTTAATTAGATGAGAGCTAATTAACGCTATTTCATGCTAATTAAGGCGATTGACCCCTCACTAACACCAATTATCTCTATCGACCCTAGGTCGATAGCAACAAGGTCTATGGGGACCCTGTTAACGCCCATTCCTTCGCGCGAATTACCCATCGTTAATGCTAATGAGAGCTAATTTATGCTAATTACCCATAATTTATGCTAATTAGCGCCCACTTAATTAGGTGAGAGCTAATTAACGCTAATTAATGCTAATTAAGGCTATTGACCCCTCATTAACACCAATTATCTCTATCGACCCTAGGTCGATAGCAACAAGGTCTACGGGGACCCTGTTAACGCGCATTCCTTCGCGCTAATTACCCATCGTTAATGCTAATGAGAGCTAATTTACGCTAATTACCCATAATTTATGCTAATTAGCGCCCACTTAATTAGGTACGAGCTAATTAACGCTAATTAAGGCTATTGACCCCTCATTAATACTAATTATCTCTATCGACCCTAGGTCGATAGCAACAAGGTCTACGGGGACCCTGTTAACGCTCATTCCTTCACACTAATTACCCATCGTTAACGCTAATGAGAGCTAATTTACGCTAATTACCCATAATTGATGCTAATTAGCGCCCACTTAATTAGGTGAGAACTAATTAACGCTAATTAAGGCTATTGACCCCTCATTAACACCAATTATCTCTATCGACCCTAGGTCGATAGCAACAAGGTCTACGGGGACCCTGTTAACGCCCATTCCTTAGCGCGAATTACCCATCGTTAACGCTAACGAGAGCTAATTAACGCTAATTAGTGCTAATTAGCCATAATTGATGCTAATAAACACACACTTAATTAGGTACGAGCTAATTAAGGCTACTAACCGCTCATTAATACTAATTATCTCTATCGACCCTAGGTTGATATCAACCAGGTCTTTGGGCACCCTGTTAACGCTCATTCCTTAGCGCGAATTACCCATCGTTAATGCTAACGAGAGCTAATTAACGCTAATTAGCCATATTTAGCCGTAATTGATGCTAATTAGTGATCACTTAATTAGGTGAGAGCTAATTAACGCTAATTAAGGCTATTGACCCCTCATTAACACCAATTATCTCGATCGACCCTAGGTTGATAGCAACAAGGTCTACGGGGACCCTGTTAAAGCTCATTCCTTAGCGCGAATTACCCATCGTTAATGCTAATGAGAGATAATTAACGCTAATGAGCCCTAATTAGCGCTAATTAGCGCCCAATTAATTAGGTGAGAGCTAATTAACGCTAATTAAGGCTATTGACGCCTCATTAACACCAATTATCTCTATCGACCCTAGGTCGATAGCAACAAGGTCTATGGGGCCCCTGTTAACGCTCATTCCTTCGCGCTAATTAGCCAGCGTTAATGCTAATGAGAGCTAATTAACGCTAATTAATGCTAATTAGCGCTAATTAGGGCCCACTTAATTAGGTGAACAGCGACAAGGTGTACTGGCAGCGCCAGCCCAACGGCACCTTCAGCGTGGTGCACGTGGAGGAAGGCGCCATCGGGCGCCGCATCAGCACCGTGGGGCCGGGCTCGGGGGCCCGCCTCGACATCACCCACCTCTACAAGCACCCCGAGGGTAGCCAATGGGGAGAGGGGGAGAGGGGGCGGCGGCCAATGGGGAGAGGGGGAGAGGGGGTGGCCAATGGGATTGGCTCAAGCAGCGAGCGTTGATGCCCATTGGCTCCCGTTGACCCCCATTACCTCCGTTGACTGCCATTGACCCCCATCGAAATCCATTGACCCCATTGACTCCCATTGAGCCCCATTGACTTCCATTGACTTCCATTGACCCCCTTTGACTTCCATTGACTCCCATTGACCCCCATTGATGCCCACTGACCCCCACTATTGACCTCATTGACTCCCTTTGACCCCCATTTACTCCTCCTGACCCACATTGACTCCCATTGACTCCCGTTGACCCCAATGACTCCCATTGACCCCCATTGACTGCCATTGGCCCCTGTTTACCCCCATTGACTCCCTTGGCTCCCCATTGGATCCCATGACCCCCATTGAATCCTGTTGACTCCCATTGACCCCGTTGCCTCCCATTGCCCCCATTGACTCCCATTGACCTCATTGACACCCATTGACACCCACTGACTCCCATTGACCCCATTGACTCCCATTGACTTCCACTGACACCCATTGACTCCCACTGCCCCCATTGACTGCAATTGATCCCATTGACCCCCATTGACTTCCATTGACCCAAATGACTCCCATTGACCCCTTTACACCACTGCCTCCCATTGACCCCCATTGCCTCCCATTGACCCCCATTGACCCCAACTGACCCCGTTGACCCCCATTGCCTCCCATTGACTTCCATTGACCCAAATGACTCCCATTGACCCCTTTACACCATTGACTCCCATTGACCCCCACTAACATCCATTGACCCCAATGACCCCCGTTGACTGCAATGACTCCCATTGACCCCCATTGACTTCCATTGATCCCGTTTGACTCCCATTGCCCCCAATGACTCCCATTGACCTCAATGACACCCATTGACCCCCACTGACCCCATTGACCCCTATTGACTCCCATTGACTCTCATTGCCCCATTGACTCCCATTGACCCCCGACATCCATTGACCTCAATGACTCCCATTGACCCCAATAACCCCATTGACTTCCATTGATCCCAATGACTCCCATTCCCCCCCATCGACCCCCTTTCCCCCTCCTTCTCCCCCCCCAGGCTCAGCCGAGGAACGCCGCGCCGTCTCCACCGCCACGGCGCACGGCTCCCGGCCCCACCGCGCCGGTCCCGATGGGGCTGGCAGTGGGGCCAGCAGCGGGGGGGAGGTGTCGCTGTGGGTCACGGCCGAGGAGGCGGTGGCCGGGGCCACGCTGGAGCTGAGGGCGCGGGCCCGAAACGAGGGGGCGGAGCCTCGGACACTACGGCTCCGCCTGTCGCTCGCCGGCGTCACCTACACCGGCGTGACGGCGGCCGCCTTCCGGAACGAGCAGCACCGGCGTGTCATCCCCCCCCAGCAGGGTAAGGGGGGGGGTCAATGGGGGGGAGATGGGGGGCGATGGGGGTCAATGGGGGCAATGGGGGGTGATGGGAGTCAATGGGGGGCAATGGGAGTCAATGGGGGTCAATGGGGGCGATGGGAGGCAATGGGGGTCAATGGGAGTCAATGGTGGTCAATGGGAGTCAATGGGATCAGTGGGGGTCAATGGGAGTCAATGGGGGTCAATGGGAGTCAATGGTGGTCAATGGGAGTCAATGGGATCAGTGGGGGTCAATGGGAGTCAATCGGGGGCAATGGAAGTCAATGGGGGTCAATGGGAGTCAATGGGACTCAATGGGAGTCAATGGGGTCAATGGGAGTCAATGGGGGTCAATGGGAGTCAATGGGGTCAATGGGAGTCAATGGTGGCCAATGGGAGTCAATGGGATCAGTGGGGGTCAATGGGGGGCAATGGAAGTCAATGGGGCTCAATGGGAGTCATTGGGGTCGAGTCAATGACAGTCATCCCCCCCCAGCAGGGTAAGGGGGGGGGGCAATGGGGGGGGAGATGGGGGGCGATGGGGGTCAATGGGGGCAATGGGAGGTGATGGGAGTCAATGGGGGGCAATGGGAGTCAATGGGGGTCAATGGGGACGATGGGAGGCAATGGGGTCAATGGGATCAATAAGGGTCGATGGGGGTCAATGGGAGTCAATGGGGGGCAATGGGGCTCAATGGAAGTCAATGGGTGTCAATGGGGCTCAATGGGAGTCAATGGGTGTCAATGGGGCTCAATGGGTGTCAATGGGGCTCAATGGGTGTCAATGGGAGTCAATGGGTGTCAATGTGTGTCAATGGGTTTCAATGGGTGTCAATGGGGCTCAATGGGTGTCAATGGGGCTTCAATGGGTGTCAATGGGAGTCAATGGGGCTCAATGGGGGTCAATGGGAGTCAATGGGTGTCAATGGAAGTCAATGGGTTTCAATGGGGCTCAATGGGTGTCAATGGGGCTCAATGGAAGTCAATGGTTTTCAATGGGGCTCAATGGAAGTCAATGGGTGTCAATGGGTGTCAATGGAAGTCAATGGGGCTCAATGGGTTTCAATGGGTGTCAATGGGAGTCAATGGGTGTCAATGGGTGTCAATGGGTTTCAATGGGTGTCAATGGGTGTCAATGGAAGTCAATGGGGCTCAATGGGTTTCAATGGGTGTCAATGGGAGTCAATGGGTGTCAATGGGTGTCAATGGGTTTCAATGGGTGTCAATGGGTGTCAATGGAAGTCAATGGGGCTCAATGGGTTTCAATGGGTTTCAATGGGTGTCAATGGAAGTCAATGGGTGTCAATGGGAGTCAATGGAAGTCAATGGGTGTCAATGGGTGTCAATGGGTGTCAATGGAAGTCAATGGGTGTCAATGGGAGTCAATGGGGCTCAATGGGGGTCAATGGGTGTCAATGGGAGTCAATGGGTGTCAATGGGGCTCAATGGGGCTCAATGGGTGTCAATGGGGCTCAATGGAAGTCAATGGGTGTCAATGGGGCTCAATGGGTTTTAATGGGTGTCAATGGGTGTCAATGGGTGTCAATGGGAGTCAATGGGTGTCAATGGGTGTCAATGGAAGTCAATGGGTGTCAATGGATGTTAATGGGGCTCAATGGCTGTCAATGGGTGTCAATGGGGCTCAATGGGGCTCAATGGGAGTCAATGGGTGTCAATGGGGCTCAATGGGTGTCAATGGGAGTCAATGGGTGTCAATGGGGCTCAATGGGGCTCAATGGGAGTCAATGGAAGTCAATGGGGCTCAATGGGGCTCAATGGGTGTCAATGGGGCTCAATGGGTGTCAATGGGTTTCAATGGGGCTCAATGGAAGTCAATGGGAGTCAATGGGAGTCAATGGGGCTCAATGGGTGTCAATGGGGCTCAATGGTTTTCAATGGGGCTCAATGGGTGTCAATGGGGTCAATGGGGCTCAATGGGTTTCAATGGGGCTCAATGGGTGTCAATGGATGTCAATGGGAGTCAATGGGTTTCAATGGGGCTCAATGGGTGTCAATGGGGCTCAATGGAAGTCAATGGGTGTCAATGGAAGTCAATGGGGCTCAATGGGTGTCAATGGGGCTCAATGGAAGTCAATGGGTGTCAATGGAAGTCAATGGGTGTCAATGGGGCTCAATGGAAGTCAATGGGTGTCAATGGGTGTCAATGGGTTTCAATGGGTGTCAATGGGGCTCAATGGTTTTCAATGGGTGTCAATGGGTGTCAATGGAAGTCAATGGGTGTCAATGGGTGTCAATGGGTTTCAATGGGTGTCAATGGTTTTCAATGGGGCTCAATGGGTGTCAGTGCTAGTCAGTGGGGCTCAATGGAAGTTAGTGGGTGTCAATGGGGCTCAATGGGTGTCAATGGGTTTCAATGGAAGTCAATGGGTTTCAATGGGTGTCAATGGGGCTCAATGGGTGTCAATGGGTGTCAATGGGTGTCAATGGAAGTCAATGGGGCTCAATGGCAGTCAATGGGGCTCAATGGGTGTCAATGGGTTTCAATGGGGCTCAATGGAAGTCAATGGGAGTCAATGGGTGTGAATGGGAGTCAATGGGTGTCAATGGGTTTCAATGGGTGTCAATGGGAGTCAATGGGTGTCAATGGGTGTCAATGGGTGTCAATGGGTTTCAATGGGTGTCAATGGGGCTCAATGGGAGTCAATGGGGTGAATGGGAGTCAATGGGGCTCAATGGAAGTCAATGGGTGTCAATGGGGCTCAATGGGTTTCAATGGAAGTCAATGGAAGTCAATGGGTGTCAATGGGGCTCAATGGGTGTCAATGGAAGTCAATGGATGTCAATGGGTGTCAATGGGAGTCAATGGGGCTCAATGGGGCCGCCCCACTGCCGCCCCCCAGAGGAGCTGATCTCCATGGCCGTGCCCTATGGGGAGTACTCGGGGCACGTGGGGGCGGGGCAGGGGCTGCACCTCACGGCCGCCGGCGCCGTGGACGAGACCGGGCAGGTCCTGGCCAAGGAACTGCGGGTGCGGCTGCACGTCCCGGAGCTGGGCCTCACGGTACTGACCCATAGAGACACACACTGACCCACACTGACCCATAGGGACACATAGCGACCCATAGAGACCCATAGGAACACATAGGGACCCATAGAGACACATAGGGACCCATAGGGACACATAGGGACACATAGAGACCCATAGGAACACATAGGGACACATAGGGACCCATAGAGACACATAGGGACCCATAGAGACCCATAGAGACCCATAGAGACACATACAGACCTCCATAGGGAGCCATAGAGACCCATAGAGACCCACACTGACCCACAGCGACCCACACTGACCCATAGAGACGCACACTGACCCATAGGGACACATAGAGACCCATAGGGACACATAGGGACCCATAGAGACCCCCATAGAGACACATAGGGACCCATAGAGACCCCCATAGGGACCCATAGAGACCCATAGAGCCCAGACCCATACATTCTGCCCCATAGCACCCGGACCCATAGAGACCAGACCCATAGAGCCTGCCCCATAGAGCACTGACGCATAGATTCTGCCCCATAGCACCTGGACCCATAGCGCCTGCCCCATAGAGACCAGACCCATAGAGCCTGGACCCATAGAACCAGCCCCATAGTGCCGGACCCATAGAGCCTGCCCCAAAGAGACCTGACCCATAGAGCCCCATAGAGCCTGCCCCATAGAGCCCGGACCCATAGAGCCTGCCCCATAGAGCCCGGACCCATAGAATCCTGCCTCATAGAGCACTGACCCATAGATTCTGCCCCATAGCACCCAGACCCATAGAGACCGGACCCATAGAGCCTGCCCCATAGAGCCCTGCCCCATAGAGCCTGGACCCATAGAGCCCGGACCCACAGACCCAGCCCCATAGAGACTGGACCCATAGATACCTGCCCCATAGAACCCTGCCCCATGGAGACCAGACCCATAGACCCTGCCCCATAGCACCAGACCCATAGAGCCCGGACCCATAGAGACCTGCCCCATAGAGCCTGCCCCAGTGACCTGCCCCATAGAGACTGGACCCATCCAGCCCCAACCCATAGAGACCTGCCCCATAGCGGATGCCCCATAGATAGAGCCTGCCCCATAGCACCCTGCCCCATCCACCCCATCCCCACTGATCCCATTCCCTATGGGTCCAAACCCCATGGATCCCAGCCCCACAGCTCCCATTCCCTATGGCTCCCACCCCCTATGGGTCCCAGCCCCATGGATCCCAGCCCCACAGCTCCCGTTCCCTATGGCTCCCACCCCCTATGGGTCCCATTCCCTATGGGTCCCATTCCCTATGGGTCCCATTCCCTATGGGTCCCAGCCCCATGGATCCCATTCCCTATGGATCCCACCCCCTATGGGTCCCAGCCCCACGGCTCCCACCCCCTATGGGTCCCTGCCCCACAGCTCCCACTCCCTATGGGTCCCAGCCCCACAGCTCCCACCCCCCACAGCTCCCACCCCATTCCCTATGGCTCCCACCCGCTATGGGTCCCTGCCCCACTGATCCCATTCCCTATGGGTCCCACCCCCTATGGTTCCCATTCCCTATGGGTCCCACCCCCCACGGCTCCCACCCCATTCCCTATGGGTCCCAGCCCCACAGCTCCCATCCCCCCCGTTCCCACCCCCCAGAGCTCACATTCCCTATGGCTCCCACCTGCTATGGGTCCCTGCCCCACAGCTCCCACCCCATTCCCTATGGGTCCCATTCCCCATCCATCCCCATTCCCTATGGGTCCTAACCCCATGGATCCCAGCCCCACAGCTTCCATTCCCCATCCATCCCCATTCTCTGTGGGTCCCAGCCCCACAGCTCCCACCCCCCACAGCTCCCACCCCATTCTCTGTGGATCCCAGCCCCATGCCTCCCACCCCCTATGGGTCCCTGCCCCACTGATCCCATTCCCTATGGGTCCCACCCTGTTCCCTATGGCTCCCAGCCCCACAGCTCCCATTCCCTATGGCTCCCACCTGCTATGGGTCCCAGCCCCACAGCTCCCACCCCATTCCCTATGGCTCCCACCCGCTATGGGTCCCTGCCCCACAGCTCCCATTCTCTATGGGTCCCATTCCCCATCCATCCCCATTCCCTATGGCTCCCACCCCCTATGGGTCCCAGCCCCACAGCTCCCATCCCCCACAGCTCCCACCCCACTCCCTATGGCTCCCACCCCACTCCCTATGGGTCCCACCCCATTCCCTGTGGCTCCCAGCCCCACAGCTCCCACCCCCCATAGCTCCCACCCCACTCCCTATGGGTCCCATTCCCCATCCATCCCCATTCCCTATGGGTCCCACCCCATTCCCTATGGGTCCCATTCCCCATCCATCCCCATTCCCTATGGGTCCCAGCCCCACTGATCCCATTCCCTATGGGTCCCATTCCCATCCATCCCCATTCCCTATGGGTCCCATTCCCCATCCATCCCCATTCCCTATGGGTCCCATTCCCCATCCATCCCCATTCCCTATGGGTCCCAGCCCCACGGCTCCCACCCCC